GCCATCCCTCCGACGCTTTGGTTCAGCAGTTGCTGCGGAGCCCTCTCTGCTAATGTTTTGGGAGAGGCTTGGCCTCTCCTATATATTCCTCCTTTTCTCGTTTTTACGGCACGCTTGCCTATTGCACTTACCTCTTTTGGATCAATTTGCAGGGTTTGCGTAAGCAGTTGGGCGAACTAAAGGATACTGTTGACCGGCATGATACCCGAACAGCCGAAAATTCACAGCGCGTTGAAGTCAACGAACGCAGGCTCGTTCATTCAGCGTGCGCATTTTTGGCTTTGATTTTGGCAAATGTAGAGTGGAAGCACGCGAGAATGGCGGCACTACCAGGGTGAAAGTGAAAAGACCCGCCGATCTCTCCCGATTACTTCTCAGCGATGGTATGCGCCGATCTGAAAATGGGACAAATGCCCTCCAGATCCAGTCTCTGCACTGGGCCGGCCGCGAGCCCCACAAATTTCTGATCGTCCGCTTCCTCACATCCGGCGACAAGCAGCTGTTTGACAGCTGGAAACGCTTCCTCGCAAAGGACTTCACTCCCCACGGCCGTGTAATTGCTATACGAAGTGACCTGACCAAAATGCAATACCTCTCAGCTCTACGCGCAAAAGAGCTGACGAAACGTTTGCAAGGTAATGGCGTTTATGCCATTGCATCCGATACCCGAATTGGTATCGGGGCGCATCATGCCGGCGTTTCTTAAAACATCCCCTGTCTGATTCGTTCACGTTTCATTCTGCTCCAACCTTGGCCACGGATAGCAACTTTTGATAAATGGATCATTTAAAGTCCTACTTGTACATTAAGGAAGATGTCATCAGCCTACCTTAGGTTTTTGCCGTCGCACAACGATGGGTACTATGTTTCCAATTTTCTTCTATTTCCATATCTCGAAGTTGTATAATTTGATAATAAATATTCGTTTATCTATGCAGGCATGCTCTTGCTGTAATGAACTTCACAAATGTTTGTCGTATAAAAAGGAACAGTCTATGTCTTGCCATTACTGCACCCCAGGCTGACTAAAGCTGCGAGCGTCGCCATGGCACGCACCATTACAAAATGCGCAAAAATTAAACAAGTCCTTGTCACGTACAAAAATTGCGCAAAAATTAACAAGTTGTTATCAGCAGGCAATTAAAGGAATCCGTAGCCACCCAATTCGGCAAAACTCTTTTAGAAACGATTTACAGGCCTGTCATAATTGAACTCGACGCATAGAAGCGTGCTAGTAGCATTACCAGCATCCGTCTTTTGCACTACCTCTTCTGACATCTTTGGAAACTTACTGTTTCTCCTGTATAATGTGGATCGAGGGCAGTAATAAAAGATAATACACAATAAGTGCTTGCTACTGCATTGTTAAATAATCCGGCACTCGCTTCGTACTGTTTATCAAATATCTTCTGCCTGATTCGTTCACACTTCATTCTGCTCCAACCCTGGCCACGGATAACAACTTTTGAAAACTGAATTATTTAAAGCCCCACTTATACACTAGGGAATACTTTGTCCGCAGCCTTCCGGTATGGGCAAGATCAAGTCAAAAACGGAACCGAAAATGCGACTGTGATGAGAGTAAATGACAATTGAATCTTATCTGCCCCGTTTCTGTGGATCAATTCGGCAAATTTTAACGGCGAGCCCTTATGCCAAAAACAAGTAGCACTGGTGCCTCATCCCGTTTGCTTCGCTCTGGGCCGCTCAGTTGATATTGTAAACCCACCTTTACGGTCATTCTGTATTCCGGGTTACACACACGGTGCGTTACTACAACTAAGGACAAATAGATTGCAGGTGTTGCAAGCCGGTCCGGATTTGGACCTACGCGTTACAAAAACGAAAGAGGGCTTTCGCCTATCTTACGTCTATGTCTTCGCACAAGGACGGACACTGTGGGTCCATTTTTTCCGGTTTCCAAAACTCAAAGTTGGATAGTTTGGCAGCAATATTCTTTTATCTATGCAGGCATGCTTTACTTAATGCGCTTCTGCAAATCCCAGTACGTAGAAAAAGGAACGGTCTAGAACGTTTCAATCGATTAATAACAAAACTGTCTAACACAACACCGTGCTGTTGTCGAGCGATGACTGGGGCATTGACCTACCGCAGGCTCGATGGGTCTATGGGCCAGTTCTAAAATTTCCCCACTCCAGGTTCTGCCATGACACACTCCATGGCCCACCACCCCAGTTATGCGCGTATTCTACATGCGAAATAGCAGGCTCCTT